GTTCTCCATTATCGATTCTCAAGAATCATTTGCTATAATGGGCAAAAGTTCCGAAGAGCTGGAAACAAAATTGAATTTGCTGAAGCTCCAGTCAATAAGTATACAGCCATTACTTTTAGTGTTAGGTGATTTAGAAGATATCAAAAATATTTCGATATATTTTGATGGAATAAGGTATCCCATGATGACTACCTTAACTGCTGTAGATATTTTATACAAAGTAATGTTTGTTTTTAATCTAGAGTTTCCAAAACAATCAGAAATATTTTATACTTTTATTCAAATATTCTTTTTTGAAATGCCCACAGCCAAAAAAAAATTAAAACTTGCAAGTTTTATAAGCCAATTACTTAATTAATGTTTTTTTTTAAATGTCTTTTTACATCAAATTTATGTATAAAATAATTTTTTTTTGAATTAACTCTTTACTTTAACTAATGATATACATATAATTTTTAAAATTAACATTTGTAAACAAATTAATTAGTTATAAAACCCTATTGCATTTCTCTGTATAATTTTATTTACATAAAATCATTTTTTTTTATTATTGAAATATATATCTTTTCAAGAATAAAAAATATCATAATTTAATGTCAAAAACAGCGTTTTTTTAACTAAAAATAGAATAAAAAAACAATAAAATTTATTGTTAAAAAATAAATATTTGTTTGGTTCATAAATTTCATTGAAAATATCAGCTTTATTAAAAAAAATTGTTGAATTTGTTTGTAATAGTAACAAAATTATTTATTACCGTAACAACCAATTTAATTAAATAATTATTATTATTTAGACAATATATTTAATTCAAATGTGCGTGAAATTTAACAAAATATTTTATTAATATAATAACCAATTTTATTAAAAATATTTTTCAGATTTAACAATTGGTTTGTTCAAAAAAACAATAACTTTAATTCAAAACATTTTTAAATTCAACAATCGCATGTATTAAAAATATATTTTGTTTTTAACAATTTCATCAGTTAATAAAGCAAAAATATTAATTGAAAAAAAATAAGTTAATTTTTTATAAAAAATACAAAATCCCGTGGTTATATTCACAAAAATTGTTGTTGGCTCAAAAACAAACAAATTTTTAATTGTATATGCAAAAAATTAATTGTATTTACAATCCATTTTTTTCTGTGTAGGCCACTATCGGCCCTGTTGTGCGAAAAAAAAATGTTCACTGAATGTATTATTTTTCCATGTCCAGAAACTCGGTTTCCTGGACGTAATTCCTAAGAATCTTCCAATCAGTGTTGGTTAAGAATGTTATTTCCGACTTGCTCATTTTGAGTAGATTTCTCGTCTTGCTCCCATCTCTCAATTTTTGGGGTTCTACCCACCGTTTCATTATTCCAAGAGGCCTTATGGGATTCTCTCATCCATATTTTTAATTCAGCTTTGTTGCGTCGAATGGTTTTGCGTTTGTCAGGTTAACTACATCGAGCTCCCTTCCCTTTAAAGCTATTACATTCGCCCTTTCGTTGCCGACTACTCCCGAGTGGCCTGGTACCCATATGATGTAAACCTTTCCTCTGGGAGAGTATTCAGTTAAAGCTTTCTTACAATCCAATACGGTCTTAGATTTAATTCTATCACCTGATATCGCCCTAATTGCCTTTTGGCTGTCGGTAAATATATTAAGCGCTGTGGGGGCCATATTTATTCTAATCCAATTTACACATTCCGTTATTGCTCGTACTTCTGCCTGGAAGCTTGTGTTATGATTAGGTAAACGGTGGTATATTTCTGTTTCTGGGTCTTCAATATAGAACCCCAGGCCCACTTTGTCCCCTAATTTAGAGCCATCCGTGTAGCAAAGGTTTCCTACTGGTATTTGCTCCAATGCTCCGCTTGACCAAGACATTCTATCTGGGATTAGCGTTTCAAAGTTTCCGACATATTCTGTGCCTGGTATGCGATCAGGCACGTCCGATGAATGTGCATAAAAACTTGTGTTGCAGTATAATTATTGATAAAACCGTAAATGGCCCATTATTGCTTTTCTTGTTAACAAAAACTATATCCCGAAGTTTTGAGTTTTGACCCATTTTTGTAAAATTTATCCAGTTTTGTTGATTAATTTTTGATATGAATGTAAGGTTTCTTAAGAGGCTTTCTGGTATGTAGAGTGTGGTCCTTGAATTGAACTCATATAGACTAGATTCCCTGGTGTAACTGTCATATTTTTCGATAATTCCACAACAATTTTGAGCGAATTGGGCTTCGGTACTCATGAGTTTTGCAGTTCTTTAGCGTTAGTAAGCAATTTTAGTAGTCCTGGTTAACGAATATTCCCAACCGTAGGATGTCATACACAATTTTTCAATAGTTTTTAATTGTTCACTGACTATTTCTGACAATTCGTCACATTTCGTGTAAATATTGATTTTTTTTTTAATTGATTTTTGATATGAATGTAAGGTTTCTTAAGAGGCTTTCTGGTATGTAGAGTGTGGTCCTTGAATTGAACTCATATCGACTAGATTCCCGGGTGTAACTGTCATATTTGTCGATAATTCCACAACAATTTTCAGCGAATTGGGCATCGGTACTCATGAGTTTTGCAGTTCTTTATCGTAACGCGTAAAAACAGCATCATTTTTTAGAAAACATTTATAATCTAAGCCTGTGTTTCACTTTGGGTAGCTGTTTGTTCACAGTTATATTCGTATTATATAAGCCTTCTAAACTGCAATAAAACATTTTATTTTTTATCAATAACTGTACTATAACAAAGACTTTTGTAGAACTGAAATTGGTGTATACTTTCTTTTGACGCTCACAGTATATACGACTTTTAATACTTATTTTTAATGTGGGCGTGATACATCGCCCATTAAAAATTTCAAAACAATAAGTTGTGTATGATTTTTTCCAAAAAGTAAAAATTTGAATAAAATCGGTTTATCGGTTATCAGTCTATATACTACAAATAAAAATACAAACAAACGCACACACACATTTCAAAAGTTTTTTATTCATAAATTACACAGAAAAAATTAATTTAAAAAATTTTCAATTAAACGATTAATCGAAAATTTTAAAAGGGTTCAATTCATTTTGTATTTGAATCATAAAAATGTATAATCAAATACGTATTTAACAACAACAAAAATATAAAAAAATAAAAATTTTTTATACGAAATCAATTATAAGTAGTAATTGAATATACAATTTTTGTTACAGGTTGAACTTCAATAAATAAAATAATTGAAAACGAGGTTTTGGTAATTGAAATCGTTTTTCAGTTTTTTCTGTGTACTTACAAAATACTTTGAGTCAGAAAAATTGACCTGGTGCTCACCGACGGAATCGGTTGGATATATAATGTGGTATACGCATGTAGAGGAGGGTTTGGGATACAGCACAGTGTAGGATTTTTTTGTTCTCTTTTGTTTCCTAGGAGTTACGATCTATTAACTACCCCATTTTGAGAAATTTTGACCTTTTCTTAAAAAAAATTAAATGTTCTAATGTACATAAAGACAATTTTTTTTTTACTTGCAAGCTGCAAGTAAAATAATTTTACAAAATTTATTTCTCTTCCAAAACTTTTAAAAAAAGTTATAATCATTTAAAAATGAAAAATTTACTAAGAAAATTGAAAATTAAGCAAAATTCTGTGGTAGTTCATGTTTGATCACTCTATTCGCTGTGATAAAGTATAAATAGAGTTGTAATTTTTTGGACCCCGAGGTTTACGAGTGTTTACTTTCAAATAAGTAACATATGTAAATTTAAAATCGGTGACCATAGAAAAAATGTATTTTGGCCGCCATTTCGAAAAATGGTCCACAGTGCGCCATTTACTCTTCCCGTGAATTAAGATCCCGAAGGTACCTCAACCAACTGACCAGCCAGGACAAGTCCTGCAGGCAACTGACCACCCGTATTACCAGATTATGTGGTTTTCTGTTTCGACCTCATGTCAAATAATTCCAAGGAAAGTCCGAGGAGTAAATTGACATTACCAATTTATAGTCCCGGCAGATTAGAGATACTGGTAGCACCTCTATACCCCGGGATTGCAATACACCAAGTTAGGGTCTTCATCAAGGTAACATGCCCCGGGCGGTGGGAAGGCTATATATACGTTTGTCATTTCGTTTGTAATTGCCACAATATAATTTTCCGACCCTATAAAGTATATATATTCTGGAACCTAATAGATAGCGGAGTCCATTAAGCCATGTCCGTTTGTCTGTTGAAATCAATTTCCTATCAGGCATGCTTTCGAGAAATTTCCGAGAAATCAGCAAAAACTGACCATAAATAACGGAGATATGAGCAAAAATCAAAGACAACCTCTAAAAATTTCATCAAATAAAGGGAATGTTACTGCATGCTTTAAAAAAAAAACAACAACAACAACATACGCTTATTGAAAAGGCGTATGTGTCGTTGTACGTTGTTTTTTTTTCTTTGCATGCTTTGATAAAAAAGCAACAACAACATTGTTTATTGGAAAAAACGTATGCTTGTATGTTTGTTGATTTCATTGTGTATTTTTTTTTTTTTTTTGTTTCGTTTAGCGTTCTTGTTATAGTTTTGCTATAGCTAAAGTAATGGTAGAGTCGGTAAAAATTAAATAAATTGAAATTTTATAAAATTAAATATATTTTTAAACACACTATGGTGAAGGGTACATATATAAGATTCGACAAAGGTGAATATAGACTTCTTACTTGTTTTTATCACAGTGTTATCATAATTGTTTTAATAAATTATTATGTTAGATTGTTTTGAAAATAACATACTTTTTAAATAAAATCACTCGTCAGTATTTTTGTATACTTATTTGTGTGATTTACTGTATTACGAATCTTTTACTTCAAATTTAATTTTAATAATTCATACAAAAATTACTTTATCCGGTTTAGTTGATAGCCGGAGATTGATATTATGAGCATCAGTGTTATTGGTTTTAAATTAATGAAGTAAAAATAAAAAAGCATTCAGCTGTATACACAATTTTTCAACATTACCTAATTGTATATCATTCACAACTTTGTTTATAATGTGCGGGCTAGTTGGTCGTTGGTATCCATTAGGATCTGGCGATCCTGGGGAAATTGGAGAACAAGGCTCGCTTTGCTTTAAACTTCCAGATATACTATCCATCCTAAAAATAAAAAAATATATATTATAACTATTAGCTTTTTGTATCCGGCGTTACCCGGAGATAAAATAATTTCATAACGTTTCAATATAAATTTAAGCAACAGATTGTGAGGACTAAAGTCGCTAGGCCCGTTTTAGCCCCACCATAAATATGAATTCTTTAATTTTATTATTCTATTTTAATATGTTATCGATATATTCGACAGTATTTTATAATTTATCGACTATTACATTATTATCATTAGTATTTTTATAATGTCCCTTAATTTAAATTATTAATATCGCCATCAATTGGATAGTAGTGAATTAAATTTATTATTAAATACAGCACTGCTTTCACAACTCTGTTTATACAACAGCTGATGGTAAAACAGAGATGAACAATTATGCAGAAATGGAGATCACAATAGTATAGGTCTGTTCGCGTACTCGATAATTTGTAACAATTTGCAACAATTGTAACTGGATTTCGTTCGCGTACTTTTGAAAACTTGCAACGAGAGAGTAAGAGAGCGATAAAAATGACAGTTCGTTGATAGAGAATTTTTTGATTTTACTGGATATTTTTTCCCCAGTAAAGAATATCCAACATATGTTCACAACAAAAGCTCTAAAAGAATTCATTCATTAATTCTTTTTTTGAAATTGAGTTATATTTTAAAGAATTAACAATTCTTCAAACTCATTCCCTTTGATTTAATTCCAAGAATTAATTCTTAAAGCTTTCGATGTATATGAATTAATTCTCTAATGAATTAATTCCTATAGAATATTAAATTCCTCCTGAATGAATCAATCTGTTACAAATTGAATTAAAATAAATTTCAACAATTCCTATTGATTTATAAATTCCTTCTGAATGATAAAATTTTTGTTTGAATTCAATCTATTACAAATTGAATTAAAAAATTTTTCAACCATTCAATTTGAAATATATTGAATGAAAGTTTTGTTTTATAATTCAAAAGCATTCTGTATATTAAAAATTGAATTAAAAAATATTTCTTTCATTCAATTTGTAATAGAAAGAATTAAACAGATAAGAATGATCATTCAATTGAATTCATTCCTATAAAGAATGAATTCTCTTAGGAATTAATTCAATGGAATATAAAGCCAAGGAATTCAGCTTTAGAATTTAAATTCAATGAATGATTTCAAAGAAAGCTACATTTAAAAATTTAAAAGAGTTTGTTTGTTGTGAAAAATCATAACAAATATTGTCAATCTAGCGTTTTTAAACCACTAAGTTTGTCTTTCTCTTGGCGATTTTGTGTAAATTTTTATTTTGCTAATCTGTTTGTAACATGAAGTTTTATAACAATAATATATTTGTAATGATATTGTTTTGTTAACTTTAAATATCCATTTATTTATAAGAAAAATCACAGTTTCAATTGTTCTTTTTTTTTGATGCTTTATTAGCAATTGAGATTTCAGCAAAAAGACATTACTAATCTTTGTTTATAATCAAAAACTTGCAATTTTTTACAAATTTGCGTTCGCGTACTTTTTTGGATATTTTTTTGATTAAAGTAAATTAAAAATTACTCTCTATCATAAAGTTACTGGATATTTTTACTGGAAAGTACGCGAATGTGAATGCAAGGCGAATTCACATAAGGTGGTGTTATTCAATCAGCTGATTATTTTTTTTATTCACTTGATGTCAGAGCTTGTTATTGTTTACATTTTTATATTTAAAAATTTTCGTTAAAATAGAGAAAAACTTCGTTAGTATTTTGAATAATATATGTAAAAAATCTCAAAATACCAAGCAATTTTTAAATATATATTTTCTCATAAAAATAATGAATAACACTATGCAACACTATTTATGGGGGGCGAAAAATTCCTTCACAAATTGAGAGTATACCATTAGTGTATTCAAACCCCCGAAGCTTTTTTCGCTGCTATGTCAAACTTTTTCGCAATCGCTAATTTAAAGTTCATAGTGAATTAACATGATTTTAAACTTTAATTAATATAAACTATTAACAAATGGGGTATCATGTGAAACCTCCTTCGAAGGGCTATTGAATAATATGTAAATCTTGAACATCCATTTCGAAATTTTTGCGGTTTCCGAATAAAAGCATATTTGTTTGTGAAATCGAAAAATCTTAAAAATTTTATTTAAACGGCTAACTCAATGGCCAAATTAAAATGTTTTCTGCGAAATGTACTGTTTACTGTGTATAAGTTAAATGCGGAAAATTTTAATATATTTACATAAATACTTAAAACAAGGTTAATTTAAAAACTTTAAATAATAATAATTTTTTAATACAGAAAATTTTTAATTGTATAAAAGGGTGCGAAAAAAGTTTAATTTGGAAATTATTGCACGTTTTAGAAATATTGGTGACAAACGTAAAAGTTTGATACCCATATTATATATTTTTTGGTATAAATTTTGAGACTATAAAAGTATGGACAAAAACGCGAATATAAAAAATAATAAAATCCAGGATTCATTTAGTCACATAGAAATGAAATAAAATTCGGGGAATTTGTCAAAATAATCTGTATACTATTCAAAAAAATTTAATCTTTTGTAAATATTTTAAAATTTATATATTTACTAGCTATACCCAGTGTGCTTTGCTACCCTAAAAGCAATGTAAACAAAACAACACTTTAGGATTTTCAAAATTCTAACTATAATAGATTTCCAGATATATATTTTTTTAAATATTGGTAGTCATCCTTCGCGACGGGTAGTCATCTTGACGCGATGCGAAGGCTTATGTGTGATGACCCATGCAGGCCGTGCTGGTAGGGCTACCTATGCCAGAGGGGCTCATGACGAGCACATACTAAGAACTACCCTTCCCACGACTGGTAGCGTCTGTTTCTCCCCGATGGGGCGGCTACCAGTCCAAGTACTTGTCAAAAGATCTCTACTCATCCTTCGGATGTGTATCTTTTGACAGTACAGTCCGTTCGGGATCTTTAGATCCCTAAACTCCACGACGGTCCGTCTAAATCCACCGTCTGTTCCCACATTGGGCGGCTTGGTGGTCTGCAAGCATATCATATGCAGAATCATATACTTGGCAGCAAGTATAAAATGCACACCGTTCTAATGTCCAATGTCCGACAAGAAACCGTGCCCCGCGTATCCGGTAAGGGGCCTAATAATCTCCGGAGACCCTACCCCCACGGCGAAGGCGACAGGCTGTGGAGAGTCGAGTGCTACTGCCACCCAGTTTAGTCCGGCGGAGACACCGGGTCGGGCTAGTCTGAATGCTACCGGCGCCAAACCCAAGACAAAAGCGTCTGCGGATTTAGGGAAGCCTGGATCCTGCAGTCGCAAAACAATAACAGCATCTGGCTCCAAAGCTGGATGCAGCAAAATAAGCAGCGAGGCACCTCTGGACGTCACCCCAAGTACCTCAAAAGCAGCTCAGGTCCGTATTGGCAAAATGCCGATAAACCCCCTGTTTCGGGGACTACTAAGGCCACCAAAGCCAAGGTAGCAACCCCAGTGCCGGTTATGCACGAGGGAACTGCGAACAAGATTTCGGGTTCTCAAACGGCATCTCCCAATGCCACCACGGCGAATAGTAAGACCCCCAGGCACGTAACACCAGCAAGAAGGGCCTTCCTACAACGACCTTCCAACCAGTTGAGTCGCTAAGTAAAGAGGACAAGTCCTCTCTAGAATGGGCTAAGGGAAAATTGGCCGTTCTGGAGAAGAGTCCCCCCCTCACGTCTAAGGACGCGCCTAAACGGCAACGTTCTGAGGAGGAGACTAATCTTCAGGGCCAGCAGCCCGGGACAAAACGTCCGAAACCGTTGCCCCCCAAGCCGCATGACAGGACCCTCGGTGAAGTGGTTGAGAACCAATTCACGCGTGCTGTCATCGACAGGGGTGACATAGATGGCGCTATGTCTCCATCCAGATGGGACATAGTGCGAAAAAAACTGATGGGGGTGTTCTGGGAAGTTCTTAAACAGAACCCTGGTCCCCCCCCCCACAGTGTAAGGACGGCGGTTGGTTTCACAACAGAGTGAAGCTAATGGCCTGTTCTAACGAGCGCTCAGCTTTGCTCCTGAAGCAGGCTGTGTCGCTGATAAAGGATCCGTGGGAAGGTGCTAAGCTGGAAGTGGTCTCTGTGGACGAGATCCCACGAAGGCCTAGATCCACCGCCATAATTCCTGCGGAACCACATAAAAAGGCAGCGATACTGGAGCTTCTACAGGTTGGCAATCCGGATCTTCCAACTCAAGATTGGAAGGTCGTCAGGGTTTCTCAACCTGTAGGAAGCTCCAGAAGGATTGTTGTGATCCTGAACCAGGAGTCTTTGGCGCCGCTTCGCGAGAAACAAGGGAAGGTCTACTACGGCTTCGAGTCGATCTTCCTTCGTGTCTACCGAGGCGATGACAAGGGACTATTTTAACAGGATGATCCCGATCCTGACCAATCCGCTGCGGATATGTCTTGCGACGAGACTGACCTTTCGCTGAGTCAATCAACTTCTAAGTTGGTTAAGGAGGGGGAAGAGTCAGTTGACGAGGACGATCTCCTTGCCTCTGACAAGGAGGACGCCAACGTCACAGTGTTGCGTAAAGACAAAAAAGGAGATGGTGAGAGTAACCCAAATTAATCTCCACCACTCTAAAGCAGCCTCGGCTGCACTGCTCCTCCGAATGGGTGTAAGTGGGGAGGAGCTCGCCCTAGTCCAGGAACCCTGGATTCACCAAGAAAGGGTGAGTGGACTAGGCATGAAAAGCTTTAAGCTATTGTACGCAAAAGGATCTGGTAAGATTCGATCCTGTATAGTAGCCAAAAGCAGTCTCAACATCTTCATTCTTTCTGATTTCAGTGATGAAGACACCGTAGCAGCCATATGGGAGACCAGTGTAGGTGCTATATTGGTTATCTCGGCGTACATAGCTCACGACCACAGCGACCAGCCACCGAACAACCTGGTCTGCAGATCCATAGAGATGGCAAACTCGAAAAGCATGCCGATCATCATGGGGGCTGATGCC